TTAAATCCTAGGTCCTTAGCACTCGATCGAGCAATAGAGGTCTAGAGTTTAGAGGGATATCACCTAGTTTCTTCAATCCTAGAAAATTTGCAAGAGTAAAATTAGGTCAGAACAAAAATACAAATAAACCAAATCAATAAAGCACACAAACCTAAAAACAAAACCTAGATCCGAGCCTACCGTCGATCGCCCCTTAGTCTAGTCGTCGCCGATGGTCTCCTCCCTCATCCTTTTCCCCTAGTCCGAAACCAAAAAACTAGAAGAACAAATATATATCAGAATCCCGTTTCGAATTACAAAACCTCAAAATAAGCATGCATGTTAATGAGAGGCTTACTAGAGGGTGAGATCGTCGCCGCAGTCCTAGATAAGAGAATAGATCGAAGAAAGGGAAAGACAGATCGAGAAGCCCCCTCGGTTTAGGTCCATTATTTCTCCGGAAATAAACAAGAAAATAGGAATCAGAACTCTAAAACCCTAAAATCATATCTGAAATAGGAGAAATCGCACAAAAGAAAAGGTGAATGAACCTTAAAACCCCAATTGTGTCGTGTTCATCATCGTCGGCAGTGCATGTCACCTTGGTCGCTGGCGGTGTTTGTCACCATCGTCGCGGCGGTGCACCCTTTTAGTTTTGCCGTCGTTACCAGAAAAACGAAAGGAGAGACGAAAGGGAAGAGGGTTTTTCTTCGTGCTTTTGTTCGATTTCTGGCAGTGGCTAAGGTGAGGAGAGATTTGTGTCGTTTATGTTGTTTTGGGTCATAAGAGGAGAGGAGAACGAGAAAGAAAGAAGCAGAGGAAGAATCGAGAGAGAGAGAGAGAGAGAGAGAGAGAGTAGAGCGAAAGGAGGAATCAAGAGAGTTGGGCGGCGTTTAGCTTTAGGTTAGATTAGGGTTATCTTAAAAAAGTTTATATACCCCATGTATTGCAAGTACGAAAATGCCCCTATCATCGTCCCAAAAGTCAAAACGAAAAACACCAAAATTAATTGTTCCCGAGTTTCGAATTCGTGTGGTGAGGCCTGTACACAATTTGGGATCAATGGTCAAACCAGTTGGGTTGCTAGCCCATAATGCGTCAATTTAATTAGTCCGTTGTTTTTATTATTTGATATTCTTAATAATAAATTTTGAATGCGGATTTGGTTAATCCTGTTTATTTCTAATACATCAAATTTCTTCTTAATAACTGAAATCCTTATGTTATCTTTTCATAACTTCATAATAATCAATTTAGAACCACGATCAGTGGAACGTGGTAAAAGTTACATTTAAAATTATCAAAGTTTCAACGAACTACGTGGACTTTGATCCCGTGTTACAGGTATGTAGGAAACCGATAAGGTTCGAGTCCAACTAACTAACTAAATTTATCTTTAAATTGTACGTTAGTGGACGTATAATTAAGTATAAAAAAAACTACTATGATAAAACTCTTTAGGGATCTAGTGGGATCCTAAAAAAATACTTAATCAAATTTATCTTTAAAATATACGTCAACGGACGTGTATTTAGGTAGCAATATATTAATGGTCCAGTGGGACCCAAAAATACACCTAACTCGTATAAAACTTATCGACTTAAGTAGTACAACCTTTGGGAGTTGTGAGATGTGATTTCAGTTCACCGCACATAACCGTACTCCCGAACCCATATCTCTAAATCGCAGACCAAGCCTCGGTTCTAACCCTAAGGTTAGAGCTGACCGAAGAGTGTTCGATCCACTCCAAGTAAGATTGATGGCGACTCCAGAAAGCGAACACGACCCCAACCCCGACAGACGGTTGCGAAAGAAGGAAATATGTGTAGTGGCTGTGGGTTTCTATTTGAAATTATTGGGTGAAGCTGATCAATCTATGTAGGGGGAGAAAGTAGAATTCTATGAGAGGTTGTAGAAAAGGAAGCTTTCTAGTGATCTGGCTGCTGATCTATGTGCTTCTATCATGGGTGAGAGGTTAAGAGGGTAATTTTTGGCATGAAGGCGGAGAAAGCCCCTGGTTCGGATGGTTTCTCTGCTTGTTTCTATCAGAATGCTTGGTCTACTATAGGAGCAGATCTTATCTCTGTAGTCCAATATTGTTTTGCAGAGTGCAGAGTACCAAGGGAGGTAAACACTACCGCTTTAACTCTTGTTCCTAAGGCCATCAACCCTGTGCTCATGAAGGATTTTCGTTCTATATCTTGCTGCAATATTGTTTATAAGTGTGTTTCAAAGATTATTGCAAATCGGCTTAGTTCTACCCTGCCTAGTCTCATTAGCTACAATCAATCTGCTTTTTGAAAGGAAGAGTTATTGGGGATTATATTTTGATGCCACACGAGTTGGTATCAAAGTACTCTCTTAAGCATGTTTCTTCTCGTAGTACATTGAAGATTGACATGATGAAGGCTTTCAATTCAGTTGATTGGGGATTTATATTGTGTGTTTTAGCTGCAATGGATTTTCCTGGTCTTTTTATTGATTGGATTCGGACGTGCATTACTACTGCTATGTTGAGTGTGGTTTTCAATGGTGGATTGACTAGTTATTTTCCTGCTCGAAAAGGTGTTAACTTGCTTATTAGATGATGCAGCCAGAGTGGGGTAGTTACCCTTCCATCCAATGTACAAACAGATTCAGTTGACTCACCTCTGTTTTGCGGACGATGTGTTTGTATTTACTGATGGATCCAATAGGGGGTTGTAGTGTGTTCAGCGAGTCTTGGAGAGGTTTGAGCAGTTGTCAGGATTGGGTTTTAACCCGGGAAAGTGTGAGCTTTATTGTACAGGACTCACAGCCGATCAGAAAAGATCGAATGGCTGAGAGATCAGGTTTCAACCTTAGGGTGTTTCCTATCAGATACCTGGGGCAGCTGTTGGTAGCAGGGAAACTATCAGTTGCTGCTTGCTGTCCCCTTATTGAGAAGATTGTTGCAAAAGTAAGAGGATGGAAAGCCAAATCGTTGAGCTATGCAGGTAGGGTGGAGCTTGTCAATTCTGTGCTGATGAGACTTGCCCAGTATTGGATGACAATTTTCCTTTTGCTCAAAACAGTCCTTCATGAGGTTGAAAAGATATGTAGTGATTTTATATGGGGTGTGGGAGCAGGAGGCAAAGCAAAAACTAGTGTTGTCTGGGATCAGATGGCTGTTCCAAAATCGGAGGGAGGGCTTGGGCCAAGGGACCTTCACTCCTGGAATGTAGCATGTGTCTCTAGGCATATCTGGTCCATTCTTCTGCACCATGGATCACTGTGGATTGCTTGGTTATGCAAGTATAAGCTTAAAAGTCGTTCATTTTGGCAGTATCATGCATCCTCCTCCTCGGGTCTTGGTGCTGGAAGCGAATTCTTAAGCTTAGATCAAAAGTTCAGCAGTACTTTATCTTGCAAAATGGCAAGGTTCTCTGGCAAGGGGAGGAAATGTCCATCTACTCGGTGAAGAAAGTGCGGAATTCTATTCGGCAATGTAATATCCCACCCTCACGAATCGCTTAATACGTAAATCTTGTAGGTTATAATTCAAGTGTTGGTCACAGTTTCTATTCGTTCATAGGGTTAATGAGATGAGTGTAAAACATGTAGAGTACATCTTCATATAGCTAAACTTAGCATGATAAATTATATAATTCCAAACCCATCCAAGTTAGCTAAAACCGCCCACTCCTAACGGTTGAGCAAAGGAACCGATACCACTAGGTTCATGAACCTTTAAGTAGCTGTTTTGACATGTATCTTTAAATGAGAAGTTCTATTTCCCACACATGAGCAGTAGAGCACACGTGGGTAGAGGGTTTTCTTTGGCTCGGGAAATAAATGGGATGGGATAAATGCTTCCCTAGGAACCGAGGAGATAGAGAGACTTTCCACCACTTCATATCTCTGGAGGCAAGTGAGGATAAAAGAACCAAAGCCCTTCCATCACTGCACCGCCATCATTAACCAGCCTCCTCACCATTACCACCTTTATCTCTACAATTGCTTTGGAGAAAGTACATGCAGCTAGGTGACCGATTCTAAAAGGGGAGAGTAACCAGTTCCTTCTTGAGAGAGAGCCACCATTAATGAGTCCCTTTCATCAATATCGCCACCACCGTTTCTTTGAGAGCTCAGCTAGGCAAGGGGAATGACAAGGGGTTAGTGCTCATAAGGTATGGTGATCCCTCTTCTTAGTTAATTTATTTAAGGTGTATGGTGAAGGGATGATACTGATGCTTAGAGATCATTTCTTTGAGGGAAGCTAACTATACTTTGTCCTTGAATCTTGTTATGCATGCTGAAACCAGCCCAAAGTTTGCATGCATGGTTCTTTACTTGGATTAAATAAGTATTTGTAGGGATTATAAAAAAAAGCATCCCATGGTCAGTAAAGAACCAAGTAGTCATATGCATGTACATGTGGTCATTTTGGGGTCCAGATTGGTGACGAGAGTGGGGAAATGGTGTTAGTAGGCGTGATTGCCCACCTGTGTTAAAGTAGAGGAGATTTGGGGTATTTTATGAATTGGTCATGGCCTCATGGGACTTATCCTGAAAAGTGTGAGTTAGAAGAGATTAATTGGGAAGATGAGAATGAATGAGTTGCATGGGAAAGCTAGAAATTTAAACGAATCTCAATTGGTGGGTGGTTATTAAGTTAGAGAAAATGGGTTCAGTTTGTGGGAAACATAAACGTTGATGGGATGGAAATATATAAATAGAAGTATTTTACCTATACATGGTTATTTATGTGTGGTACGGGACCTTGATTGATTGGGATTGGGAGTTGTTTGTCCCATATGATATTTGAGTGAAAGAAAGTATAAGGATAATTAAGCAATCAAGTATATACGGAGTGGGAGTGGAGTAATGGAGATGTTTTGGGAATCCTTGATGGATTAGGTTAGTTAAGTAATTTATTTTAAATCTTCGATGTATGCTAGCCCTGTTGCTTCAACGATATGAAATTTAATTGAGTAAATGATTTAAGCGATATGGGTGAGTTGCTAGCCTATTAAATGTGATTAATTGATTTTGTGTAAAGGAATGCAACAAGCAGGAGAATCATCGAAGCAAAAGGGAGTAGCTGAATAAAAATCGTATAGTGAGTAATTCTTAACCTAATATATATTTTAGTATGGGCATGGTATTCGGGTCATGAAGCGGCCCGGATACGTGGATTTGTGATAGATCGATAAATGAGATATGAATGAGTATAAGCTTATATGATGAGAATTGATAATGTGGATATGTATGAGTTTGCTATTTTCAACGTGCATGGATGAATGAGCTATGTGAAGAATGTATTGATGTGCAATTGAGATGATTGTGTATAGCATCAATGAGTATATGATATGATATGTGTGCCTACGGGCTTATGACGAGATGTTTTACATGAGTATTGTCTAACCCATGAACTACGTGGTCACCTAATAAAAACATAATGGCGCCTTGTTATGCACTCATGAAAAGAAAAAGAGAAGAAAAGAGTTATACGAGAACTCCCTATAAGGAGTATCGCCAGGCCTGGCTATGAGTTAACGAGATACGGAACTTCGTACCCACGAGTCTATGAGTTAACGAGATATGGCACTTCGTGCCTACGAGTCTACGAGTTCACGAGATATGGCACTTTGTGCCCACGAGTTTATGAGATTTGGCACTTTGTGCCTACGCGATTACGAGATCACGAGATTACGAGTTCACGAGATCCCGGGGAGTGCATAACTTGGCATTAAAAGTAAAATGTACATAACCTAGCTAACTATGCTTGTGTTTGAGCCTTGATACAAGGATTTCGTGTGATGTGACTAAGTGATGTTTCCTACGATGTGTTCAATAGATTGCTCATGAGATTGACGTATTTATGTGAAGGCTTTACTATGATGTGTTAATGCAATTTATCATGAGATTGTGTTACATGCCTACATATGTTGATGATTATATGGTGATACCAGAATGATGTGTTAGTGAATGTTTTTACCTATAATGGGGTTGATATCAGTAACTCAAGGGCAAGTGTGTATGACATGAGAACCACTTAAATTGGTTAATGAGTCTTGCATACCTAGTTGGGTAGAGTACCACTACTAGATTCGTTAAGTGAGCTTAAGCCCTTGGTGTACCTGATCACCGTGCGCAACTGGAGTATATATTGAGTTATTAATTACTCATTGAGTGGCTCGGTCGAACCCCCGCCAATATTTTTCCCTTTCAGAGCCAAAGAAACAGCAGAAGCCTCGGTCGAACCAGTGAAGTCAGCCGGATGGCTGAAAGGTGTGCGGCGGAACTGAACTCTCCACATGTTTTCACTTTTGAAGTTGAACTAAATGTTTTAACGCTTTTAAGCTTGTGTACCCACTGAATGTTAAACTACTATGTTGGGTTTGAACTTTGTTTTCAACTCAAACTTTGCACCGTTCGGTGTTCTTCTTTTGGATGCTTTGAGAAAACTAGCTTAAATTTCCTAAGCAGGTGATGTAACCCGTATGCTAGTGTTATGTCCAGGTCTGAATGTGAAGTTAAAACCTAAGGTTTAATGAGTATATAATCTGATGATGTTTCCAATAGTACGAGAAGAAGTAGTAGGATGTTACAATAAGTAGTAGGATGTTACAAGAAGTAGAAGGGTGTTACAGGCAAAGGCACCCTTCTCCTGTTTGGGTGAATGTTGTCTGGAAAGGTGTGGGTATACCTCGTAATAGATTCTTGATTTGGTTGATTGCAAAGGGACGAGTCAATACTAGAGCCAAGACGGTGTCCTGGGGTTATCAAGGGCCTCTGAACTGTGTGTGTTGTGATCAGGATATTGAGTCCATTGATCATTTGTTTGCAAATTGTCAAGTGTATCGAAGTCTCTTTCAGGTACTCATTGGCAAGGCTTTTCCACTTCTCCCCTGTTCTACTTAAGCTATGAGATGGAGTGGGCGATCACAGCTTTTGTGGGTTCTTCTGCTTTCCAAGAGGCGGGAAAACTCATTTGGAGTTATCTAGTGAGCAATCTCTGGCGGGAGCGATGCAGGAGGATTTATGCTGTGTAGAGGATGGATGTTGAAGTTCTTTGTAGGTTGATCAAGAATGAAGCTAGTGTGGTAGTTGTGGATCAAGTTAGGGAAAAGTTTTGGTAGTATCTTGCTCTTTGTGTGGCTTTAGTATCGATAGAGTAGTTGTTTTAATACACATGTATAGCTAGTTCCTAGTTGGCTTGGGTTGTTGCCTACAACCCTTTTTTTATGATATATTATAATCCAATTCATAGAAAAATGATAAGATCCAATTAAGAAAAGTTGGAAAAATAAAAAATATATTATTTTTTTGGTGAAATTTAGTTGTTGTACGGGTTGTAGCCCAGCTGCTACTCTTCCACATGCCGCTACCTATTGGTTGAAAATAAAATGAATTAATTATTAATTGTTGCTTTTTTGTGGACGGAAATACGAGGAACGGAATGCACACAGGAAGGGACAGACGGGTCTTTTACTGAATCGCTATTCGTCTCCCTAAAATTTAAATTTTTTATTGCAAAAAAAAACTGAATTGACACATTCATCCTCAACCATAATTTCTAACTGAACAGTGAACAAATAATCCCTAAATCTCATCTCACTCCAAACACGACCCCCCACCATCTGGGCCGAAAAATTTGACACCCACCCCTACAACGGAGACGAAGTAGCTGTAGCTCTGGCGCCGAGCGAGCTCTAGTGCCTCGGCTCCGCCATGACCCCGCTTCAGACTAAAAGACGCCAACTCTTCTAGTTACCCACCGCCTAACTTTCTGCTGCTACTACTTCCCCTGCCCTCCGCCAGAGAGACAAGAAGAAGGGGAATCAGAAATTTAAGGGAATTTTCTCTGGTCGTCGTCTCTTTGCTTCCTTCCATATTTCTGTTTCAGTTCTCTCTCGGTGAGTTTGAGATCAAAGTCCATGTGAAGTTCTTGTGTGTTAACCCATCCCAGCTACAGATCGAGTTGTCGCAGAATAAATGAAATAAGGGCCAATTCCATGATGATAGATATAGTGATTCATAAAAATTATGAATATAGTGAGGTGATCTGGTCATTTCTTATTGTCGCAGAAGAACAATTGTAATCAGTATATTTTGATTTTGGATTTATCCTTAGAATTGATTTGTTAGTTGATCATATTTGGTTTTGGGTTTATGCGTTTAAAATACAAATAAATGAAATGAGGGCATTAGAGTAAAATTAATTAAGTTAGGGTGACGAATAAAGATTTTTAGGGCGACGAATAGCAGTCCCCGTCTTTTATTGTAATGGATGTTTGACATTTACACTTCGTATATGTTTTATACGTTTATTTGTTTTTTATTTTTTGGTAGGAAATTTTATTTGTTTTAGATTTAGCTTACATTTACTTTTTGGAGAACTTGGTTTTTGGTTAAATATTATTTGGAGGTAGGTTCAGATGATATAGTCTAAATTTTCAAGAACATAATATTAAATGAACTAAGTCTAGTAGAACTACACAACCATCTCAAATGACTTGTCGTAAATGAATCGTACTAAATAAGAGAATGCTTACACGAAATGCACCTTGAATTCTATGAAAATATTAAATGAATCAAGTCCACCTAAAATTAGTTCTATGAAAAATAATCGGGCAAATTTTAAGGTTGGTCACTGAAAGTGCTAAAAAATTTACATTTTGTCACTAACAGTATTTTATTCCATTCGTGGTCATTGAAAGTGGTTAAACTTTCACGTTTGATCACTCTCCGTTAGTGTCCGTCAGCCTCTGTCAACACCGTTAGTTTTTTGTCGACGTGGCTAACAGAAACGCTGATTCACCAAATTTTAACTGGCCACATCATAAAACTCGACCCGCCACAACAGACCCAGTACATAAACTAACCCAATTTAAACCCCACACGACCCGAGCCTCTCTTCTTTTTCCTTGTTTCTCCTTCCTTTATGAACTGCTACCTCTATTCCCACTTTGATTCGTTGGGATTTTTGATCGAAGGAAGGACAAGACAGTGGAGAGCGCTTGCAACGAGTGAGTAGTTCTATGGCCATTGATGGTGGCTGAGAGTTGCGGGATGACGAGGCTTCCGATCTCCCTCCTTCCAGCTATATCTCTCTCAATGATGGTGCTCCTCTTCTCTCACTGCGTGCCTCCGTCTCTCTGTTGAGTTTGACTCGTAACCGACTTTCCATTCGGAGAAAAAGACCGAATTAAGACTCCGCCTCGCCGCTCCTCAAATCGCTGGAGATCAGAAGGTGAGACGACGATTGAGGAAGACCTCAAATTGGGAAAACAGATGGTCGAAGGATTAGAGGGCGTTGTTGTGTTCGGAGGATTGGAGGGTGGAGAAGGGCGAGAGCAAGCGAAATCGATCTGGTTCTCAGCAAAAAGTCTCGTTCAAGTTTTAATCAAAGATCTTCATCTTCTTGTTATCTGGTCATCAATCGCTTGGGGGAAGATTTGGGCGGAGAGCCGCCATTAAGCTTTGTGGGGGAGTCGACCAGAGGGATTGGAAGATACTACTGGAGGTCACAGAGGAGGAGAGGAGGAGAGCAGCGCAAAGGCCATAATGTTGGCATGCAAGGATGGTTAGCGGTGGCGACGATGGTGGGAAGGTGGGTGGGGTCTGGTCGGGTTGAGTAGGGTTGGGTTAGGGGTTGAATTGGGTTGGGTTATGGAGAGTGTCTGATGTTGCGGATAAATTTAGCGAAGATCCACTAAATTTATGGAGTTTAAATGGCATCAAAAGGCAAACTTGAATTAATGATCCGAACACAGTTATCAGAGCTAGAAATCTAACATATACAACTCAAATGATTGAGGAATTTGACAAACAAATTCCTGAGTTACTAGAGAAAGGATTGATTCGTAAAAGTTTTAGTCCTCACTCTAGTCCTGCTTTCATGATAATCAATCATGCAGAGCAGATACGAGGCAAAGCTCGTATGGTCATAGATTATTATCAATTAAATAAATTTGCCAAAGAACACGGCTACAAGATTCCTACTGCTAGTGATATTATTGCCAGAGTAGGAGCTACAAATTCTTCCTTATTCTCTAAGTTCGATCTTAAGTGATATTGGTAAATTAGAATGGAAGAAGATTCAATTCCTTTAACGACATTCAATGGGCCACAAGGAATGTATGAATGGTTAGTTATGCCATTCGGGTTGAAGAATGCACCTGACATTTTTCAAAAAAAAAAAGATGATGCTTTTTAAACTCTAAAAAGGTTTTGTGTTGTCTGCATATACGATTTGTTAATGTTTAGCAAAACCAAAGAAGAACACACGAGTCACCTTGAAAGAGTGGTTGAAATATTCCACAAGGAAGGAATGATTCTATCCGAGAAAAATATAGAATGGTGTCAGGAGGAAGTTAATTTCCTTGGTATATAACTTGAAAAGGGAAGGATATGGATACAAAGTCATATTGCCAAAAAATTAGTAAACTTTCCTGATGAATTGGAGGATAGAAAGAAAGTACAAAGGTTTTCTGGTCTTGATAACTATGTTAGACAGTTTATGAAAGATCTTTCAATACAACTAAAAGGATTATCCAAGAACACATATCATAAAAATAAATGGTTTTGGAATGACGAAGACACTCAGTCTGATAAACTGATAAAAGGTAGTGTTAAAAAACTTCCTTGATTAAGCCTACCATATGATGAAGATGAGTTATTCGTGGAAACTGATGCTTTTGATGAATATTAGGGACCAGTGTTAAAAATCAAAGGAAGGAACACTACAAAAAAATAGGTATATGGCAAGGGTTTTTTTTACCTATAGTAAGGGTTTTAACCCCTGCTACGAGTTGTAGCAAGGGTTTTGCCAACCCCTGCATGAACCCTCGCCAATGCTGCCCCTGCTATGTTTAGCAAGGGTTTTTAACAACCCATGGTGAAAGTCCCGTCCAAGGGTTGTTGCAGGGGTTTGAAACCCCTGCTACATGTATCAAGGGTTAAAACCCCTGCTACAATTCAATATAAAATTCAATAATGAGATATTTGTATTAGGGGTTAAGCCCCCTGCTAAGTTCGTTGCTCTAACTAGCTAACCCTTGCTTAGTTTGTCGCTAAATCAATTGCAACCAACTCAGAATCGTCGCTAAAGAGAGGCTGATAAAACCCAAAACGTCACTAAAGAACCCATGAAGATCGGTGACTATAAGTTGGTTGTAAATACTCTGGTCGCTATAGATAAATCCAGAACCATGCTTTTTATTGCAAAATTTTCTATAAATATCATTCTTGGGTAGCCAAACCCATAATTCATGATCCAAGATAATATTTTTATACATTATAAAATGCTAATAACTTGAAACTCGAATCTCTAAATATATCTGTCCCATCAATAAACTTTCACAACAAGGATTCTTTGTTCAGTATATGAGTTTTGCTAGAATCTCTGCAGGAGCTGCCAACAACTCCTTCCATTTAGATCAATTGCCTGTCATCAACCATATCTGCAAGGAAAACATATCGAATAGGAACTAATAATGATTACACATGATCATCAAATATTAAAAGGAGTCGATATAACTAACCTGGACTTGCATTTGAACCTGCTTCAAGTGTTCAATCACTTCATCAAGCATAGACGCCTTATCCGTCTAACACAAGGACACCAAAAAAGTAGTGAACTTCTACCATAGTCAGTGAACTCCAACAAAAGCTTTCAGTTCAGGGAAGATACATATGATCTCACCTCGTTATAAATTGGTATCAAGTTCTGTATAAAAAATGTCCACATTGATCCTGCTTCTCCTCCTCATCTTACCAGGGTGTCCATTTTACGATAAGATAGCTAATAAGACACCCATAACTAGTTTAGCCAAGCTAAGTATTTCTTTGCAATCAACTATAATAAGCATAATCAGTACATATATTAGGAGATATTGTGACAGGTTTAACTTGTTGACAAACAAACACCGTAGTCACAATACATCATCCAAATTACAGATAACTTAGAAGTGTTTGTATTACTACTGCCTAAGTTAATTAGTGGTTTTGACAGCATTAACTTTAATGAACAATCAACAATATCATCTCATGTTCCCCAAAACTAAAGTTAATGAGAAATCTGTTCTTTTTATATTACCATGAAGTAGCAGAAATCAACACCAAAGATCAGTTGTTGAAAGAAGTATCTAGCCTGAGAGAGCGAAGCCAACAACAAGTGCATCAAACTATAGGTAATGGCAGAAGCAAGTGAAAGACCGAATCTAGCAGATCTAAAGGAAGGAGGAAAAAGAATTGACCTCATCTTCACTGAATCTGCCAGCGCTCCAGATACGCTCAAAGAGCTCCCCACCAGCAGCATACTCCATTACAATTGCCAAATGGCTTGGAGTCAGAACAACCTGCAAAGAAACTTGAAGAGCACTTCTTGAGAAATCAGTACTGGAAGATTTGATGGAGGACTATGATCAGTTTGTTTGTCAAGGACTTGCCTCCTTGAAGCGGATGATATTGTGGTGCCTGAGCGATCTGTGATTGATAATCTCCCTGGCCACATTCTCGTCTATCTGTTGGCAATCAATATAACCACACCGAATTAAGAAAAACCCAAAGATCAGATTTGAACTTCCAGGAAAATTAGAGAGCAGCAAACCTTGTGACCTCACTCGATGTATTTCATGGTAACAAGCTCTTTGGTTTCTTTATGCCGCAACAGCCTCGCCACCCTAAAATTACCAGCCCCCAAATCCTTCACTAGATCGTATCTCTCCATTTTTCTCAAATATAATGCTCCAAATTTATGTGCTGCTGACTTCCCCACGGAGTGATTCTAGCACAAGATGCTCTTAGAAGAAGAGGATGGCGCTCACCAAGTATGTGTATGTTGTGCAGAGCAGGGGAAGAGAGCGCTAACCACCTTTTCCTGCATTCCTGCTTTGGTAGAAATTCAGGATTTTGTTTAACTCAAGTACAAAGAGTACTCAACAAGGACAAGAAAAGTAAGTTGTCATGCTGCAGAATCCTACCTCTGGCCATGGCCCCTTCTTCACATTTTCCAGGCGTGCTTATAAAAGACCCAAATTAGAAAGTCGAGTTTCAACTGAAACATGAAAATCAGGACTTGGTCAAGCTTTAGAAATCACCAATGGATATTGATGAACACTTGCACCTTGGTTGTACTAGGAATCTGCAACTCCTGCTGTCACACTGATATGCTTTAAGAAATCTATTTTGCAATTACAGTAAAAGCCCTGGTGATTTTATAATTTAAAGAAGCAAGTAGAAGCTCGTTGTATAGACTTTATGTTCTCTGACTAAGCTAATGAGAATTACTTAGAACTAGACTGCATTGACAGAGACATGATACCCTTTAGATGGAACGAGTAATACATACCTGATAGCAAGTTGGCAGCTCATAACCATCTATGAAGAATCATCGCCAACTGTACCTTATGAACAAGTCCATTACTGAGTTTAGTAGAGAATCCACATTCAAACTAGATAATCAAAATACAAAACAAAACTAGTATAGGAGAGGCAACAAGGATAATCGTATTCAAAGTTAGAGCTTGAAAATGAACTTGTTAAACTGAAGGGTCTAATCAGGGTGATTACCTTACTAGATTTCATGAAAATCAAAATACTTAACCCTCTCAAAACCTAGTCAGTCCCATTAGCCAGGGTAATCAACCATCTTAAGAGAAAACTACACTACTAGTAGAGACAACCCTCTGTTCGGAGCCTATTGCTTTCAAGAAGCCAACAATAAAGATGGTACCCACAGTTTCAACTACGAAGGCAAAACGGGGATAATCGAGAAGTGCCAGCAACGAGATAGAGTATAACCAGATACCTAAAGTCTGTTCCTCCTTTGCTACTTATATCACCGAAATCCACACCAAGCTCCGCTATGCTGTGACGAATATGTTCTATCTCACGGAGGACGTCGACGGAGTGTCGTCTATGAAAATCAAGTGCGCTCCTTCTACCAAAAGACCGGCATCATCTGGCAAAATCTCAGGAAGTTTGAACCCGCTGTCGCTTCCTTGACGCGACGATGGAGATAATTTCCAAAATCAATCTCACTAGAATACCCGACAATGGCCAGAGGAAATGAGTTCTGGAGATCAATCTTGCTAGATCTCGAACCACCTGCCAGGTTTTCGATCAAATGCTTCCCGTGATGCTCCATCGAGTTAAATCGCTATTCTTCGAAGCTCCGGATAACTACAGATCCCTAACCAATTCAATGAAACCTTGAAGAAGATGAACAAAGCGACAGAGATTCCGATGACTGCGAGGAGATTGCGACTAGGAGAAGTGATTTTGCGCAAGGTCTGCTGGGAATGAGATTGAATCGCGGAGCAAGAGATTAGAGATTTCAGAGGCAGCGAGATGATGGCAGGGAAGGAGTGTGCGCAGGTGCAGAGGATTTGAGGATCGTTTCACTTGGAAGGTCGTCGGTGGTGTCGGCTATGGATGTGGATGAACAGAGGATCAGGACGACAACTGCGAGAAGGGGTGGAGGATTCTCCGTCCTTTTCTTTTTTAGAATAATTTTAGGGTTCGGAATATGAAAACTCGTCTAGAATTGGAAAGTACTTTAACAATAGCAAGGGTTTAATAACCCCTTGAAAGAACCGTTGTATATGGTAAGGATTAAAAAATTAGCAAGGGTTTTATGCAACCCTTGCAACAAAACCCTTGGCATAGCCTCATTTTTTTGTAGTGGAAACCATAACAAATTTGTAAATATTGGTCTGGTACTTTCAAAGGTGCTGAAATGAGATATCCTATCCATAAAAGGAAGTCTTAGCTGCAAAAAAAAAGGATTAAGTCTTTCTATATTTTTCTGGCACCTAAAAATTCGTATTATGAGTAAATTCAACATATGTTAAAAGATTTTGAAATCTAAACCTCATCTCTCTGTCTGCCCAGAAGATGTTTGCAATCTGCTCGCATGAATCAACTTCCACTTCATAGTACAACATCGCGTCCTTGTCTTTTTCTTTGTTGAAGTGCTCATAGAGATATGTGGCTTCACCGTTCGTCGCCCCCAGGTGGTTCTTCTGATCTTGTTTAATGAATACCACATCTTCCTCCCCTCCAGCATACCTAATCAAAAGCTCGTATGACAATTTGAGCTTCACCACGGCATCCTCATTATCGTAGATAACCTGCCCCTGAGCATCAGAAATATTACTGTTGCTGATCAACAAATGCTTGTGAAAAGAGTCGTGAAGCTTATGGTTGTACACCCATTAAAGTTGATGATTGACCATGTATTCCGATCATCGTTCTGTTCAAATTCAATGAAAGCTCCGTAGCTACTTTGTAATTCCTCCCTGGCTACCACATCCGGGTTGAGTGTGCTTCGTTTGCCCCACCCTTGCTTGTTGAAAATGTAATGTATGCGGTAGTAACACCGGACTTTTTCTCCTTTACCATTAGTAACATTCTTCCAGGTTTGCCTACAAATTCGGAAGCTAAATCCTTTCATATGAGCATAATTCAGATACAACCAGTAACAATGCTCACGGTTCTGCGGTTGGGTATGATGGCATTCACCGTCGTTTTCTACTAGTGGTACCCAATCAGCTGCAAGGAAAGAAAAGTCTGAACAAGGGTTAAAAAACATAAACAAAATTCAACATGGCATCACGTAGTATTACCAATATCCAAAGGTCGCATTACATTAACTATTTAGGACAGGTTTTTAGGGTTACTGTGTTAACGAACTGATCGGAAAATAATAAGAACTGAACTGAACAGAATAACGAACACAAACGATTTACGTGGTATCCCTGATGATCAGGACTAATCCACGGGAGAGCTTAGAACACTCTCCAGGCTACTGGTGTTATTAGATTGGCGGCTTAACCTACCAAAGAGCAACAGTTCAACATATATACATTCTCACAAAGGAGAGGACCTGGCCGAACCCTAGCATCAGAATGATGATCACGATGCATGGGTTGCATGGGCCGAATAAATGAAAGAAAAGAAAAGAGTGGGCTCGTGTTTGTGGGCTATGTACACTGGAGCAAAACTACACCGTCTAACAGCCTCCCCCAAATTGATGCGGGTCGCAAAGCATCAATTTGCTCGACAGATACCAATGACGACTGGAGGAGAAAGACTTGGTAAGAAGATCAGCAGGCTGTTCGGCGGTAGGAATGTAATGAAGAGCAAGAGTACCATCACGAACAAGATCACGTACATAATGCACATGAATTTCAATGTGCTTGGTGCGATCATGGAGCACCGGATTAACTGCAATACGAATAGCACTCGTATTATCCACAAATAACTGCATAGGAGCCGGACACTGCACACCCAGATCAGAGAGAAGGCGATGTAGCCAAACGAGCTCAGAAGTAACTTCAGACATCGATCGATATTCCGCCTCAGTAGATGATTTGGAAACCTTGTCCTGCTTTTTGCAACGCCAAGAAATGAAAGCTGAACCATACTGAACACACCAACCAGAAGTAGAACGTCTGGTGTCAACGCAACCAGCAAAATCAGAGTCGGAATACGCCCGAAAAGTAGCCTCACCGCCAGCTGGAAAGAAAATACCCACCTCACGAGTGCCCTGTAAATAACGGAGAATTCGATGAACCGCGGCGAGATGATCAGAACAGGGACTGGCCATAAACTGACTAACAACCTGTACGGCATAGGAGATATCTGGTCGAGTCGCAGCAAGATAAATGAGGCTCCCTATAATGCTGCGATAAGAACGACCGTCAGGCAGGGGATCACCGGAATCACGACCGAGACGCAAATTAAGTTCCATGGGTGTAGAAGCCGGTTTGCAATCAGCAAAGTTATTCTCCGCTAACAGATCAGAAATATACTTGCGTTGACTGAGAAGAAGACCAGTAGAGTTCCGAGATACCTCCAGACCAAGAAAATAAGAGAGGTCACCTAAATCCTTAAGACTGAAGGCAGCATGAAGACCCTGCTTAAGACTGTTAATACCCGCAGAATCTGTACCAATGATAACCATATCATCAACATATAGGAGAAGAACAACAATGCCGGCCGAGGAAGTTTTAGTGAACAGGGAAGGATCATTGAGACTCTGTGTGAAACCAAGGGCGGCAATCGTGGAGTGAAATTTCTCAAACCAGGCACGAGGCGCCTGTTTAAGATCATATAAAGAGCGATTAAGACGACATACTTGATCTGAAGTTCCCAGCGTGTAACCCGGAGGCAGCTCCATATAAATTTCCTCATCCAAGTCGCCATGAAGAAAGGCATTTTTTACGTCCATTTGATAAAGAGGCCAATTTTTCTGGGCAGCAACAGCTAACAAAGTACGAACGGTGGACATCTTGGCAACCGGAGCAAAAGTCTCAGTATAATCAACCCCGAGTTCCTGTGTAAAACCTTGAGCTACCAGACGGGCCTTGTACCGATCCACTGTGCCATCTGGGTTCATCTTGACAGTGTAAACCCACCGACAACCAATAACAGACTGTGGAGACGGGGGCCGAGGAACAAGAGTCCAAGTGTTACTCGCATGAAGGGCATCGAGCTCTCGTTTCATAGCCATGTCCCATACTGGATCACCTTGGGCCTGTTTGTAGCGAGTAGGCACAACAAAGGTATCGACGCCGTGAGCTACATAATCATGAAATTTAGGCGGTGGAATACCTTGAGTTACCCGTTGTGATCGACGAAGCTGCGGAGGACTAGGAGGAGGTGTGGGCGACATAGCTGTTGAAGACGAGCTGGGAGATGAACTAGCAGCAGTAGATGATGAAGAGGAGCTAGAGCTGGTAGAAGGCGAAGACAAGCTGGGAGATGTTGAGGGTGATGCCGAGGAGGAGGGACTGTGGGGAAGCAGATCGGGTGTAGGAGGATCAGCGGGCGCGTGGGGAGGATCTTCTTCATCATCATGAGGATAAAAAATGGGAAGTGATAGGGATGGAGAAAAAATTGGAGAAGAAGGACTAGACTCGTGAAACATGAGATGCTCAAAGAACACAACAGTGCAGGCAATGCGCATACGTTGTAACTCAGGGTCATAGCAAAATACCCTTTATGAACGTCACTATAGCCGAGAAACACACATCGAGCAGTTTTAGATGAAAGTTTGGTGCGTTCTCGTTTAGGACGAAGAACAAAACATAAGCACCCAAAGACACGGAGTCTAGAATAATCAGGATGACGATTATAGAGAGCAAAAAAGGGGCTGGTATGATTCAAAACAGGGGTGATCTGATAATTTATAAGACGCACTGCAGTAGCAACAGCCTCTGGCCAAAAACGACTGGGAACTCAAGAAGCAAGAAGGAGGGCTCGAGTAAGTAGCAACAGCACGAAGATCTGATTTTAATCGAAGAAAATAAATCCAAGTAAAGCGGGTGGCATGGTCAATGAAAAGTGCAAAGTATCGAAAACCATGGCGAGACAAGGTGGGAGCAGGACCCCAGAGATCGGTATGAATGACATGAAAAGGTTCTGTGATGACAGTGGTACTAGAGGGAAAAGATATGCTAGCAGTTTTAGCCTCAACACAACTAGTACATGAATGATGAGCATGGAAATGAACATTATTTTTGCCAAGTAATGACTATCTAAACATCTTGACAAGACGATATGAATGAGGATGTCCTAACCGAGCATGCCAAAGGTCCCAAACATTATCTGCCGGACTCGAAAAACAAGAAGAAGAAATGGATGACTGACTACTGACAGACCTATGAGGGGATGACTACTGACGAAAGACGACTCTGAAGGATGACGAAGCTCCTCTAGATGAAAGATCCTTCCATGTTTACTCCCTTTTTCCGATCTGCCTCCCCGTCTTCAAATCCTGTATAGAACACCCAGACGGTGTAAACAAAACAGAACAATCGTGCTCAGTAAGTTGCCCGACAGAGACTAAGTTGGGAACCAACTTAGGTACATGTAATGTATTAGTCAAACTGAACTGCGGCTCGGTCACTGTACCAATCCCATGAACACCTAACTGTTCTCCATTAGCAACACGTAAACCCATATGCTTAACCGGAACCAAATTATTCAAGGAATGTAAATCGGAAGTCATATGGTTAAAACAGGCTGAGTCAAGGATCCAAGTATTCTCTTTACCTGAACCTTGGATAGTGGCAAAGGCAGCATTAATGGCAGTCGGCAACGAACGTTGAAGAGCTGCATTGACCATCTGTTCAACATCGGCAGCCGAAAATGAATTCACTCCAGCCACAAGAGGATGTTCGGCAACTGGTTGGGCGGCATAGACTTGCCGACCCCGAGCGCCACCATTATTCATCTCACCAGGGAATTGCGCATGGGCTGAACGATCCCATGGACGCGCGGCAGCAGCAGTACGTCCCCATGGACGATCACCATTTGCACCAGCCGAGCGATCCCATGGCCTGTCTTGATTAGGAGCACTACCACCCACGCCAGCCGCGCGAGCTTCATTGCGCTGACGTTGATGACAATCAAGCACAATGTCGCCGCCACAGCAGATTCATAATGTTATCACCGCTGTCGCAGCAGCTACTGGATTTTGCAGCTACCCTGCCTCCAATAACTCGCCCCTGCACCCAGGAACACTAACTAAAACCTGAAACCGAAGAAGACGGGAAAAGAAGAAAAAAAGAATAGTTAGAGGAACTCGATAACAAGGCAGATAAAGAGTGGTCTGAAATTAATTTGCAATAGGTAATTAATCATCACCAAACTATGCCCCATGGCCATCAACTCAAAGAGACAAACACATTATCTCATGGGTTGAAACTATCTATCAAATTATATGCAATCCAACAAGTCCACATGGTTGAACATCAAAATAATGTATACATGGACCTATGTAGTAATTGCCATTTGTTGTTCTTTTCCATATATATATATTGTAGCCACGTATGGGAGTGGAAGAGTAGTGTCGGAGAAAGAAAAGGAAAAGAAAGAAAGGCACAAGTGTGCCAAGTGCATCCTTCTCTAATTGTTAAAAAAAAAGCCAAAAGTATAAGGCATAGTTTGTTTGAGTGTATTTTAAAATTGAGTGATTAAACACCATATGTTCCTTTGTGTTGATCTTAAATCATACCACATTTCTGCTAATCCCCAACAAATTTGGTATCAGAGCTAATACCCGTCTATCCTCTAAAAAATCCCCAAATTTCTAGCCTACCCAATTTTCTCAAAAAGCCATGGCAACAAC